CTGAACTCACATATAAGTTCTAGGATTTTTTTTGTAGACTCCTTGAGACTTCCTATGTAGTCCATCATGTCATCTACAAAAAGGGGCAGTTTTAGTTCCTCCTTTCTGATCTCTATGCCTTAGTGCATTGGTTAGAACTTCCAACATTATGTTGAATAAGAGTGGTGAGAGCAGACATCCTTGCCTTGTTCCTGATCTTAGGCTGAAAGTATTTAGTATTTCACTATAAATATCATGTTAACTGTAGTTATTTTGTAGGTTTTCAACATCCTAAAGTTGTCAGTTCACCCCAAATTGATATACACATTTCACACAATTGCTTTCAAAATCCCAGCAGATTTTTTGTAGATAAGATTTTCCACAATTTATATGGAAAGGCAAAGGAACTGGAATAGCTAAAACAATTTTGAAAAAGAAGAATAAAGGGGAAGAATCAGTCTACCTAATTTTAAGATTTACTTAGCTTACTGTACCTACAGTAATCAAGATGATGTGGTATTAACACAGAGATAGATACAAACATCAATGGAACAGAATAGAGAACTCACAAATAGTCCCCATAAATGTGTTCAGTGAATTTTTAACAAAGTACAAAAGCAATTCAATGGAGTAAAGATAACCTTTTAATAAATAGTGCTAGAGCAAGTGCACATCCATAAGGCAAAAAAAGAAAATGATCCTCAGCCTAAGTCTCACACCTTCTACAAAAACTAACTCAAAATGGACCACAGACTTAAATGTAAAACATAAAACTCAAAAATTTATGGGAAAAAATAGGCAAAACTCTTCAGGATCTAAGACTTGGCAAAGAGTAAGGATGGGCCAATTAAAACAAGCACAAGGTAAAGCAGTAGCCCCTTCTCCCCTCAGTTTTGACTGTATTGTTTTAAAATGAACAGAAAAGGCACTGAGATGCTAAATAACTGGATGAAAGAAAGAGAGAGTATGGGAAGAAGAAGGGGAGAGCAGTTCCCTAGGAACAAAGGTTGAAATAGAGGTTTATTTCTTTAGAAAAGAGAGGAGGAAAAGGAATGTGCTGCCCTTCAAATGTCTGCAGGAAGCCACCGTTGATCAGTGTGTTTGGGGCCTCACCTGCAATAGAAAGCCTCAGTTTCACAGATTCTTAAACAACTAACCATGCCACTACCATACAACTCAGTGATTACATTTCTGGGCATTTATCACAAAGAAATGAAGACCTATGTTCACACAAAAACCTATACACAAATGTTCGTAGAAGCTTTAATAGTAACAGCCAAAACTGGAACCAACCCAGCTGTTATCCTACTGGCAGTTAAACTGTAGTCCATCTATGCCATGGAATACTGCTGAGCAACAGAAAAGAATGAACTGTTGTTACACACAGCAGCCTAGGTGAGTCTCCAGAGAGTTAAGCTGAGTAAAAAGAGCCAATTCCAGCAAGTTATATAGCACATGAGTCCATATATATAAAATATTATTGAAATGGCAAAGTTATAAAAGTAGAAAACAGATTGGGGGAGTAGGGGCAGGAAGAAAGTGAGTGTGTCTATAAAATGGCAACATGAGGGATACTTGTGGTGATAGAAATGTTCTGTGTCTCAACTGTATCACTGTCAATATCTTAGTTGTGGTATTATAGTATAATTTTGTAAGATATGATTGAGGGAAATGATAAAGTATACATGAGATCTCTCTACTATTTCTTACAACTGTGTGTGAATGTACACTTACCTCAAAATAAAAAGTTTAATTTCAAAGAACTCAAAATGAATATATTTATTATCTTAATTGTGATGATTTCATTATCAAAACTCATTGTACGCTTTAAATAGTGCAGTTTTTTGCATGTAAATTATTCCTCAGTAAAGCAGGGGGATGGGTATAATATTTCTCTTTCTTTTCTCTTCCTGAATAATTCATTCTTACAGCCCTTAGGTGAGCCAAGAATAATAGGCATCCACACAAAAGGGGGATGGAAGGGGCAGTGAGAGAGGTGTTGCAATGTCCCAGAGCAGAGTGTCGGAGTCCAAGCAGGGTGGAGAGGGGCTTGGCATAGACTGGTTGCCTGGTGCAGGTGTTGGTGTCTACCTAACACAGCTGCCGGCACATTGATGTCTAAGCACAAGTGGTAGAAGGGGACAGCCATACATGGAGGGGACGGTGGTGGCAATGAGAAATTGCTTACATCCAGACTGTTCATGTAAATACATTAAGGATCATGGAACCAGATTTCTCACTGTTGGAAAAAGAAATTACAAACATAAAAAGGGAGAAAACGAGAATGAACCCTGCAGTGTTGGAGTACAACTGGAGGATTTTCAACATACAGCTGTGTAGAGAAAGAATTAAGATTAAATGTGTGACTGTATGTGTGTGTATATCTCTACATATACATACTTCCTAGCTCTGTCCACTGAGAGAGCCTAGAAGCAGCAACATCCTAATAATAATGAGCACATCTAGCACCCTGACCTTGGCTTCTAAATACCATTCTCCATTAAAGGAATCAGGGCTACTTAGAGAAAGGGTTAAACCCAGAGCTGATGCAAGGAAAGATATGTGAAGAGCTTGAAACACCCTATTGTGTCAGAAAGTAAGAAATGCTAGAAATCAGAAGCACACAGAAAGCAAATTGAAGTAACTAGCTCAATCTGTGACAATTTGGGTGCCAAAATAAATATCAATAGAACAAGCTGAAGGAATGAAGTAGGAAATCAAGAGTCTGTATTGATATAAATAGCAAGTAAGTAAATAAATTAAAAATTTCATGTGGAATGGGATATTTGTTCTTAATGGAAATGTTTTAATTTTGACTCACATAATGTGAACATATATTACTGATATGATTAAAAATTAATTTCAACAATACAGCTCATGACCTAAAGGATCTTACAGTTTATTTGGCAGGAATGGAATGGACTATGAGAACCCTAGGATTTCTCTGCCCAGCATATTTTTCCATTTCATCACCTAGTAGCTGACTAGCTCTGGGGAAAATGAAGAAGAAGGAGTATAGGATGGCTCTTGTGTTGCTTGCTTGGGAGTCCAGGTGCTACTAATTGATACTGGGAATATAAGAGGAAAAGAAGGTTGGGGGCAGAGGAAGACAATGGGTTAGGTTTGGAAGATTGTACCTTGAGGATGTTTAGTAAGCAATTGGTTTCATTGGCTTGAAATTCAGGAAGAATCTAGCACTAAAATAGCTAATCATGTGAGTGGATAACTCATGTAAGGAGACTGGAGAAAGAGACGAGCCAGTCGGCCCAGGGCAGAACCCTGGGTTAATCAGACATTTAGGAAAAGCTTTATGCTATTCGGAATAGGGCCATTTATAAGCAAGTACAATTATGATCAAACATGGAGAGCAAAATATTAAAATTTCAAAAACTTAGGAACTACCCAAATGTTAACAAAAACTAGAGTTTAATATTCTACCACTGAATAAGATATCATTAAAAATGTTATTTATGAAAGTTTATAATAACAAAACTGTTTATGATAGTGTGTTTTTCTTTTAAAGCATGTATTTAAGCAATGTAAAAATAGGCATAGCAAAATCTGAAAAGAGATGCATCAAAACATTAACAGTAAGTGTTTGAAGGTGGAAGTCTATAAAGTTCTTCCTTCTACTTTTCTATATCTTTTGATTTGCTAAATAATACTTTCTAGTAAGGGAAACAGTCACAAAAAGGATTCTCTTCCACCCCTTACTAAGATAAACATGGTTACAGTTCCTGATTAACACAGAACCTGGACACATAGTGGGCCCTCAATACGTGCATGACTGTATCAATACCTGCACCTGAAGGCAGTTGCCTGATATATTCTGTCCTATAAAAAGCCTGCCATCCTGTCTCCTAGAGAGCCTTGTGTCCTGCCGTCCTGGGTCTTGCAGGGCGTAACGAACAGTTCTGCCTCTACTGTCTCTGTCCACTGACATTAATGCCTTGATGGGGCTTTACCTGGGGTTCCCAGGAACCATTACTATTAGACTCACTGACGGGTCCGAGGGGGAGTTAAAGCTGTTGTTGGCTCCTCTGAGAACAACCACCAGCAGACTGTGAGCATCCTTCTTCTAGTTGCTTGTCCTGCAGAGAATCAGAGATGATGACTTGTTGATTTAGTGTATGGATTCCCATCTTGACGCCTCACTGTCCTTCTGACCTGTGCAGGCACTTCCAAGGCATTGTGCTCTGTGGGGGCTGGCAAGGTCCATGTGGTAACTGCATCAGGGCCCCCAGCCCCTTCCTGAACAATAGACCTTAGCACTGTTCAAAGCTCTTGTTCATTTCAGTTCTCAGGGCCAACCCTATTAGTACATATTAGTATCTCCACACATAATAGGTAAGATGTGAGACTTAGGTTACTTGTGCAAGGCCAGGCAGCCAGTGCAAGGTGGAGACTTAACACATCAATATTGTTACTCCGTTTGTTACTGTGTTCATCTCTGTGGAATTCCATTGAGTGGGCACAGCAAATGGGGCCTGTGTTCAGCAGGCACATCCCCACCCCGCAAGGCTTCTGAGCATGTTCTGAGGCCAAGCCTCATGTGGTGGTTCGGGAGCTGAGATGGCACAAGGCCAATATCTATTTATGTATCTATAAAAGATCAACAAAAAGAGCTCCAGGGGGTGGGTCACTTTTTAGACACCAAAGGAACCAATTAGTAAGAGCTGAACTAACTTGTTCCTTTCCCTAAGCACAAGCCATGAGTTATCCAAAACTCAAGCCCTCAAGACAGTACATGGAAAAGACACCACTACTATTAGACATTTATTGGGGAGAATCAATATTCTCTTCAAGGAAGGAATTATTTTTGGATGGGAAATTTTCCTCTGTGGGAAATCTGGAGAAGCATTCTGTCTTGTGCTGTGGTGAGAGCAGCTAGAGGCCCCTGGCCAGCTTGATGCCTCAGGTGGGGCTTGGATGGGGCACAGGCTCTCTCCGGGGCACAGATGAGGGATGCTTCTGACACAATCACTTATCCTTAAATGCTGCAACTTATCTGGGCATGTCTGTCCTCGTCTCTGGTCTGTCTCATACTTCTAGGATAGCTCTTGCCAGCAAAGACAGCTTCTTGGTAGCAGGGCTTGGTGTTTGTCAGTTCACAGGAGGGAGCCCTGTAGTAGAAAGGATGTCCCTGGATGGGCTTTGCCTGGGCCTGCATTTCTGCCTTCTGCTGAATTTTCCCAAACTTCCTTGGGGAGGGACGGGGCTCTTGAGGGCAGGTGATATATCTATCACATGCTACAGCCACCGTTTGTCATGATCTCAGCTTCAGTCATCCCAGTTAAAGCAGCTTTACTTTTAACTATGCCTCTGCTCTGTACAGATGAAATGCAGCTACCCATTTCCTGGAACTCTCTTGCCTTTTGCATTTTATCCTGAGATGAAGCCATTGCAAAAAGTGATTCTTTTTTTTCTGAAAAGGTTTTCAGGAGGAGGCCTTCCCTTCTGTGATGGGGTCTGAGAAGACTTGCTCCCAGGCTTCTCCTCTAATGCCATGTCCTGAGTAGGGAACTCTTTGTTCTAGGTTGGGATGTCCCAACCCTGCATCCCCTCCACCAAGCTCTTCTGCTTTGGGGCCCAGAAGGCCACTCTCTTTGCAGTTGGTGGGAAATTCTTATCCTGGCACCTCCCTAAGACATGCTTAGGTCCTCAAGGCTCCTGCTGCTGCTCCATGCTGATTCCTCTGTCCTCCAAATGGACATGCAGCACCTGGGAAGCTCCCATGTCCCCACTGTAGACACCCTGGGCATGAGTCAGTGAGGCCTTGTAATCAAGTTCTCTGAGGCAAGGGACCTGTCAGTGGGTTGGCCTTGGACCTGGCTCTGCTCCCTCCTCTCTGGTTTAAACTTTAACTCACCAAGTAACTGTTCTTTAAGGTTTAATGATTTAGGATCTTGGGGAACTGGTCTTTGGGTGGGGGGTTTTCAGCGGTCACAGTAGTTTCTACTTTACTCTCATTCACATTTGCCTTTTGGGGGCTTCCCAGCTTGCTGGTGGTCAAGATGTCAGCAGTTTTTGATTGAAAAGCATTGAGCTCCTCGGCCATGAATATCTCCCTGGACACATTGAGCACAGAGATAGTTTCTGACTTCTCCGTCTTTTTGCCCTGTTGCATTTCTACTCCATCCCTGGAAATCACACTCTTATCCTTTGGTTCATGTCTGTCCCCAGTTGCTTTGCAGGCAGGCTTGGGGGGCATCTCTTGCCTAGTTGAGTCTGTCTCTGACTTTTTTTGCCTGTGATGCTGTGTGTGACAGGCAGAAGAGTCTGTCTGGCACCCTTACTTCTCTGAACATCCTCTGCAAGCTCGTGGTTAACACCAGAGAATGATTGTCTCAGAGTCCCCTGTCCTTCCTTGCCCACAGGTGAGGTGGCTGGGAGAAGACAAACAGGATGGGGCTGAATTTGTTGTTCCAACTTTGTCTCCATGAAGAGACTTAGAGCTTCCTCTAAGGGGCTTGAAGTGCCCAGATTCAGAGTGCTGGGGAACCCTTTTCTCCTACAGAAATCCCAAACTCTCTAAATCACCCAATCCAGGACTACAGAATCACTGTGTTTGGGATTTTGGGGGGAACCTGCCAGTTACAGTGGAGTTTAGAAATGGTAGTAGACCTGACTCCTAAGGAGTTGGCTCATTGGATATATAAGGAAGTACAAAATAAGAAGCAGCATGCTAAATATACGATTCCTGGTTATTGCTATTTGTAAAGCAATGAATAAATGGGTTGTGTAACCAGGAAAATCCAACATTAACACCTCAAAAAGAGGCTCAGCAAGAGCCAGTGTGGTCTCTTAGCTCAATTATATGAGATGCCTGAAAGGGTGAAGCCATGTATTGTTGACACCACTCCTGCTTTTGGAACCTGACAATATCGAATGGAAGCTGGCAAACCTGAGTGGGCTCACCCTGGGGGACATTTTCCTATGATACGATGGTGGCCTGAATAGTTATTAATGACTGAATGAGATTCTAGTAATGTGCCTGTATATTTTGACTTTTGTGATTATTTTGCTGTAAGGGATCTGTGTTCCAAGACCAGGGGGGTAGACTGCATTGTTGTGACTAATAAGAAATACATATTTGGTCATTCAGGTGACCAAAATATATTTCTGATAAATATGTGGTCTCAGTCCACAGTTCCTGGCTCACAGCTCCCCAAACCCGTGGAATTTCTTATTTATGTTAATGAAGGTGACTTTTGGACCCCACCCAAGGGTGGGGGACTGGTTGCCAAAAGAACCAGCCATGCGATCAGAGGATTGGAACTTTCAGTCCCATCTCCTGATTTCCGGGCGGGGGGGCGGGGGTTAAGATTGAATCAGTTGCCAATGTCCAATAACTTAGTCAATCATGACCACGTAGTGAAGCCCCAGTAAAAACCCAAAAGGACAATTTGTTGACCCTTTTTTGGAGAACTTCTGGGTTGGTTAATACATGGAGATGCTGGCAGAGTGGCATACTGATTGGGCCCGGAAGCTCTGCATGCCTCATACCTTGCCCTGTCTGTCTCTTCCATCTGGATATTCCTCTGTATCCTTTATCATAGCCTTTAATAAACTGGTAAACATTAAGCCAGTGTTTCCCTCAGTTCTGTGAGCCATTCTAGTGAATTAATGGAAGCCGAGGAGGGGGTCCTGGGAACCTCTGATTTATAGCCAGTCGGTCAGAAGTACAGTTAACATCCTGGACTTGAGATTGGCATCCTGAGTTGGAGGGGGTCATTGGAACCTCCAGTTTGAGCCACTTAGAAGCCCAGGTAACCACCTGGGCTTGCAGCTGGTGTCTGAAGTGGAGGGTGGTCTTGTGGGGCTGAGCCTTTACCTGTGGAATCTGACTCTCTGAGTAGACAGGTGTCAGAATTGAGTTGAATTCCCAGACACCCTGCTGGCGTCCGAGAACTGCTTGTTGGTGTGGGGAAGCCTCCACATACACGTGTTGGAACTGGGTCCAGGAAAGCTTTGCATTACGTCTTCCATTAAAAGTTTTATGATTTTTTCCCATCTTCTTTCTGCCTTTTCACCTTTTTAAACAATAGTGTCATTTTGTTGATGGTGTATATGTGTTTCATTTCCCCATGCTAGCTAGTCATTTAATAGTTGTAACTCTTACAGCTTCATTATTTAGTGATAAGCTGCTGAAGTGAAGCTCTGTGTCATGTCCTCCCTCTGCCTGCCTGCATTCCCTCGCTGAGTCTGCTGGATCAGTCTCGGCCACAGGCACCCAGTCCTTTCCCTCCCATGTGAGAGGGTTTACCAGTAATGACAGCTCCTTTCTTCCCCCGTCTTCTCCATCCACAGCTTCACCATCGTCTCCACCCGTCAGGAAGGTACACTTCAAGCCCACCCTTCTCACCGACCCTCCCTTGACTGCAGCAGGTGTCTCTGTTCAGAAGAGTCTCTCCACATGTTGTTGCATCTCTGACATTGCTTTTTGATAGCAAGTCTGGTCCTGGCTGCACTAAGGTTCCTAGGGCTCACAATTATGAAAACATCCTTTAAAGTCTGAGCAAGATAAATTCCACCAAACAAATGTCCAGGTGAGAAGGGGTTATAAGAATGACACGTTGACTATATTCTTCAAAAATGGCTTGTCATAAAAAAGGAAGGCTTAGAAACTAATCCAGATTATAGGAGACTAAAGACACGTGACAACTAAATGCAGCATTGTGATTCTAGACTGAATCCTATAATGGAGCTTTTAAAAAAAGCCACAAAGGACATTACTCAGTAAACTGACAAAAATGGAATATGAATAGAAGATTAGTTAAAAGTTTTATGCCAATGTTAAATTTACTGAAGGAGATAACAGTGCTGTATGTTAGAGAATATTATTTTTCTTAAGAAACACACAATGAAATAATCAAGGAGAAAGTACAAGATGCACAAAATGTGTTCTCAGGTATTCAGGAATGTATGCATATTTTTTCACATATGTGTGTGTGTATGTGTGTGTCTTCAGATAGAGAAAGGCGAGGGAGGGAAGGAGACAGAAACAGATGAAGGCAGCGGAGAGAGATGGAAAATGGATCAAAATATTAATAGGTAAATCTGGATAAAGAGTATATGGTTGTTTACCATCCGTGCATCTTTTCCACAAGTTTATTTTCAAATAAATACATTTTTCAAATGGACCATTGGCCGTTGTCCTGAATTTTACCTAACCTTTGAGATTTCTGGTTTTGATTCCTGGAGCTGCCACCACCACCATAGCCAGACCCCCTTAGTGTTCAATGGTGACTTTAAAAGAGTTGTCTCAGCTTCTGTCCCAGGCAAGAAACCCAGGATCCTCTTTGCACAATTGAAGCGTGCTAACATTTCAACAGGGTTTTATAAAATACTGGAAAAGAGCACCCCCCCCCAAAAAAAAAAAGATTTTTAAAAATTATACACAATGTTAGACAAAAAAGGAACAAAAAATTTAACATGTTTACAGCATGGAACCCTTAATTTCTTATCTGGTGTCACCATGTCGTCTGTCTTCTGGGCTTTGTGGTATGAGTTGGTTTTCGGGCACTTCATCTGCTCTGCTGGTTGGTTACCACTGCGCCAAATAGCCGTCCTCAAAAATGGGTTGACGTCTTTTGTACTGTCCTCTCCCCTTCTTGTCATCCTCAAGCACTTATTCTTTTTAAATCCTTTATTTTAACAGCTTTATCAAAATATAGTTCACATACCATACAATTTAAAGTGTATAATTCCATGACTTGTAGTATATTTGCAGACATATGTAACCATCACCACAGTCAATTTTAAAACATTTTCATGACTTCAAAAAAGAAACCCCATAACCTTTAGCTGTCATCTCCCTCTCCCCTCATACACCCAGCCCTAAGCAACCACTAATCTACTTTCCTTCTCTCTAGATTTCCCTATTCTGGACACTTCATATGAATGAAATCATATATGGTTATTTGTGACTAGCTCCTTTCACTTAGAATAATGTTTTCAAGGTTCATCCATTTGTCATGTGTTTATTGCTAAAAAATATTAAATTGTATGGATGTGCCATATTTTATTTTATTAACCCATTCATCAGTTGATGGACATCTAGGTTGTTTCCACCTTTTCACTATTATGAATAGTACTGCTATGAACATTTTACAAATTTGTGAGTGGACATATGCTTTCATTTCTCTTGAGTATATACCTAGGAGTGGAATTGCTAGGTCACATGGTAACTTTATGTTTTAACATTTTGAGGAATGGCCAGATTATTTTCCAAAACATCTGTATCATTTTTCATTCCCACCAGCACTGTATGAGGGTTCCAATTTCTCCAAATTTTCACCAACACTTGTTATTGTCTGACTTTTTGATTCTAGCCATCCTTGTGTGTGTGAAGTGCTATCTCATAGTGGCTTTCTTTTTTTAAAGGTATGCTTTTTGGTGAGAAAGATTGGCCCTGAGCTAACATCTGTCGCCAATCTTCCTCTTTTTTTTTTCCTCCACAAAGGCCCAGTACATAATTGTATATCCTAGTTGTAAGTCACTAGTTCTTCTATGTAGGATGCCACCACAGCTTGGCTTGCTAAGTAGTGTGTGGGTCCATGCCCAGGATCTGAACCAGCAAACTCGAAGCCGTCAAAGCAGAGCGTGCAAACTTAACCACTCGGCCATAGGGCCAGCCCCTCATAGTGGTTTTGATTTGCATTTCCCTGATGACTAATGATGTTGAGCATCTTTTCATCTAATCTTTTAATGGCATTTTGGGAAGGAAAGGAGATAAACAATATGTTTGATCTACTGTGTTTAACTCAAAACACAATAGCTCATTTTAAATACAAGAAAAAATTTTCTTCTAAATATTTGAAAACACTTATGTAGTGATGTCAAGTCCTTATCACAAGTACAGCTACTTCTGTACTCTCTGCATGCTGTAGTCACTGTGATTAAGGGACTGCAACACCGTGCACTGCGTTTGCTCAGGAAGATTCCTTTCTGTGTGGGGTTGAGGGAGGAGTTCACTTGGGTAACTCCTCAGGCTTGACTACAGGGCAGAGCAGAACTGATGACCAAAGCCTCTAAAGCTCAGTGCTTTTGGTCCACATGGCTGTGTCCATCTCTTGTGGGTCAGTGTGCTCCACAGTTGTAAAAATCAAAGAAATATGAGAGCTGTGACACGGGCACAAAGTATACGTCTAAGAGACGGATGGCAGGATGTTCTGATGGGCTTTTGCCCTTTAACCATAGTGTAGGAGATGGGCCATATCACACGTGCCAGACGACAACTGTGAAAGCGGGTGAGGGGTACATGGGAAGTCACACTGCTCTCATGCATGTTTAAACATTTCTGTAATAGGAAGCTTAAAACAGTAAAAGTTAGGTGCCTCATAAGGAGAGGGGGGAGGGGCCGAGAGGATACCTGGCAAGGGGGCTCAGTCCATCAAGATGAGGGTTTAGCTCTCTCAATAAGGACATTTCAGGCAGTGTAATCATTGAGGTTAGGAAGGAAACCTCTTTTCATGTAACGGGAAAGAAGGAAAGGAGGAATGGGAAAGGGTTTTTGTGAAGGTTATTTGATGAAAGGTTCCTGTCTCATGGCTTCTAGCTCCTCTGTGAACGGTGGTCCAGTACATCTACTGAGCTCGTGGACACGGCTTAAGTTTGAGGAAAGTGCAGGAGATTTGAAACAAAGTTGAGTTGCATCAGAGGGAGAAGGAACTAAGGAAACAGTGACCTGTGCTGCATTTGTTTTGTTCACGTTAGTAGGCATGGGATAATTATTTGTGGAATGAGCAAATGTTTTCCAGTTAGTGCTGGGGCTGAATTTATCATGGCACCAGTGGATTTGATTGCGAGATTTAATCATATAGGGGTCAGTTGTAGGAAGGCGTTTCTGGAAAAGGCAGAGAGATTGGACTTTGCCAAACAGGAAAGATTAAAAGGGATTGTATGGGGCCCATTTGTAGTGGAGCTTTTTAAGTGTTGGTTACCTGATAGACCATCAAATCTGCCTTGGAGAGGGAGGAAATAAAGACAGGATCTGGCTGGATTGATGAGGAGTAAGTGGAAAAATGAATGGCCTGGAGTTGAAAAATTAACAAGGGGCTTATAAACTGGAGGAATCAGGAGACGAGGTCAACGGGTGGAATGTCAGACTGTATTAATCCAGGTGGTGGAAGTGTTCCTGGCGATAAGCTCTGGAGGGTGGCAGTAACTGCCCTGGAATGAAAGTAAAGGAGCCTAAGATGAGATGATGTAGGATCTGAGGGGCTGGGCTATTGGCTGGTCCATCCACATGGATGTTCGAGCCCTCCACCGCCTCCTCACCTCTTCAAGTTCCCTGCGTTGGGCACCATCCCACTTTTTGTCTCTCTCAAGGGCCTCCACAGGATCTGCATTCTTTCTTTGACCCTAAGCTTCAGGCATTAGAGGGTCAATGGCATAACTCCGGACAAGGAAATACAAGTATGGGAGTGAGAGGGGGCTGTAGTACACATTGGTTTTGTTTTTATTTTTTGTTTTAACACCCAGCATTCGCAAGTCTTTCAGGGAAAATTATCTCAAGTGCCGTCTAGGACATTTTTACCCCATTGTTGAGTCCCAGTCTGTACAAGTGGAGTTGTTTTCCCTCCAGACCCCTATTGTAAAGGTGGGTATGTGTGCAGTCTTGGCTGAAAAGAGCATTTTGTGGAGGTCCATGGTGAGCTCCCAAACATCTGTAACCTGGGCATAGTCTGGGACTCACCTCTGGTTCATGAGCTGCAGGTGTTCTGGGGGAGACCTACCATGGCTCCACCAAGGCCATGAATATCAAAGGAGGCTCCTCCATCCTGAACGTGAACTTTACACACTAAGGGCAACATGTTGTGTATTTCCTTCAAGCATGGATGGAAGGAAGGCACCAAGATCACCTTCCCTAAAGAGGGGATGCCATGCCTGATGACATCCTTGCAGATATTGTTTTAGTGCTCAAAGAACAGCCCTGAGCCTTTTTGGAATAAGGCAGCAGTATGCTGTGCAGTGCTCAGATTAGCCTCAAGTAGGTGATGCCTGGATCAGATTGAGGAGGGGACGGGGGGAGCAGGACAGGGTCACAATATGGATGATGAGGCATAAAACTTTGTTCCACCAGCAAGGTCGTTCTTTCCCCTCTTCATTTTTTCTTAACTTTCCACTCACTCTAAGGCATCTTTTCCTTACTCTCAGCATTTTTTTTACCCTGAGAGGTAGATGGCTGCCTGGTCAACATTGCTACCACTGACAGCTGAGTGATGCTTTTGCTCTACAACCAAATGTCATCAACTGGGCAGCCTGAAGAAATACCCAGGGCGGGGAACCCCTTGCCCAAGGTACATTTCCAGTGGGGAATCCTCACTGTCAAGTCTAAAGTATGTTTCGCCAACACGTTAGCATGACCTGCATGACAGATTCTTAAGCAGCATCTATGCTGCTCCTAGCCCCTCCCCCACCAGCCCAGGACCCACTGCAGCAGTAACCCCCAAACACTCCTGTTCAGGGTTCACTCACCTGTGGGGTCCTCTGGCCACTGACTTCTAAATCATGATGAAGCCACTGTTTCTTCTTTACTGTTATTTTCTGAAGTGGATACATGTCCTTGAGCCTCTTCAGATATAGAAGACCTGTCTTTCCTACTGCTCTAAAGGTTATAAATCATTCAGTGAGGGGAAGGTGTGGGATACTCTACATTTTCGTTAAGGCTAAGCTGAGAGGCAAGAGACAGCCCAATCCTCAGATTTCATCAGGAAGGAAATGGGCTTTGGGGGGGCACATCATATCTCTGTCAATAAGAGCTCCAGGGGACTGGTGCCCTTTAGAAACCAAAGGAAGCAACCAGAAAGAGCTGAACTACCTCCTTCCTTTCTCTAAGCATAAGCCCTGAGTTACCCAAAACCCATGCCCCCAACACAGTACACAGAAAAGACTTCATTGTTATTAGAGAATCATTTATTGGGGAGAATCAACATACTCTACAAGGAAGAAATTATTTGGGGGTGGGAAATTTTCCTTTCTGGAAATTCTGGAGAAGCATTTTCTGTTGACATAGCAGAGATGGATCTCTGAACACAGTGCGTTCAGTGGTGAGAGCAGCCAGAAGCCCCTGGCTGGCTTGACCCCTGTAGGTGGGGTTTGGACGGGGCACAGGTTCCCTGCAGGACACAGAGGAGGGATACTGCTGATCTGATAGTTGGTCCCTAAAGGCCAAAACTTTCTTGGGGTGTCTGTTCTCATCTCTGATCTGTCTAATACTTATAGGATAACTCTGGCCAGCAAAGACAGCTTCTTGGTGGCAGGACTTGGTGTTTGTCACTTTACAGCAAGGAACCCTGTAGTTGGAAGGATGCCCCTGGATGGGCTCTGCCTGGGCCTGCACTTCTGCCTTCTGCTGGGTTTTCCCAAACTTCCTCAGGGAGGGAAGGGGCTCTTGAGGGCATGCGGTGTCTGTTGCATGCCGACGCCCCAGTTCCAGCTCTGGGAACTTCCCAGGGACTGTCATGGTCTTCTGAGCTGTGGTCATCCCAGTAAGGGCAGCTCTCCTTTTAACTATGCCTCTGCTCTGTACAGATGAAATGCAGCTACCCATTTCCTGGAACTCTCTTGCCTTTTGCATTTTATCCTGAGATGAAGCCATTGCAAAAAGTGATTCTTTTTTTTCTGAAAAGGTTTTCAGGAGGAGGCCTTCCCTTCTGTGATGGGGTCTGAGAAGACTTGCTCCCAGGCTTCTCCTCTAATGCCATGTCCTGAGTAGGGAACTCTTTGTTCTAGGTTGGGATGTCCCAACCCTGCATCCCCTCCACCAAGCTCTTCTGCTTTGGGGCCCAGAAGGCCACTCTCTTTGCAGTTGGTGGGAAATTCTTATCCTGGCACCTCCCTAAGACATGCTTAGGTCCTCAAGGCTCCTGCTGCTGCTCCATGCTGATTCCTCTGTCCTCCAAATGGACATGCAGCACCTGGGAAGCTCCCATGTCCCCACTGTAGACACCCTGGGCATGAGTCAGTGAGGCCTTGTAATCAAGTTCTCTGAGGCAAGGGACCTGTCAGTGGGTTGGCCTTGGACCTGGCTCTGCTCCCTCCTCTCTGGTTTAAACTTTAACTCACCAAGTAACTGTTCTTTAAGGTTTAATGATTTAGGATCTTGGGGAACTGGTCTTTGGGTGGGGGGTTTTCAGCGGTCACAGTAGTTTCTACTTTACTCTCATTCACATTTGCCTTTTGGGGGCTTCCCAGCTTGCTGGTGGTCAAGATGTCAGCAGTTTTTGATTGAAAAGCATTGAGCTCCTCGGCCATGAATATCTCCCTGGACACATTGAGCACAGAGATAGTTTCTGACTTCTCCGTCTTTTTGCCCTGTTGCATTTCTACTCCATCCCTGGAAATCACACTCTTATCCTTTGGCTCATGTCTGTCCCCAGTTGCTTTGCAGGCAGGCTTGGGGGGCATCTCTTGCCTAGTTGAGTCTGTCTCTGACTTTTTTTGCCTGTGATGCCGTGTGTGACAGGCAGAAGAGTCTGTCTGGCACCCTTACTTCTCTGAACATCCTCTGCAAGCTCGTGGTTAACACCAGAGAGTGATTGTCTCAGAGTCCCCTGTCCTTCCTTGCCCACAGGTGAGGTGGCAGGGCGCAGATGATCCAGGACAGGAGCTGAATTTGTTGTTCCCACTTCTTCTCCATGAGGAGAATTAGAGCTTCCTCTAAGGAGCTCGAAGCCCACAGATTTGGAGTCCACCTCAGGAATCAGGTTGGTTGAGGAGGGAAGGTGGGAATGGGACAAGGACTGGGATGCTGCATCTTTCACGTTAAAGATCTCTATGGATTCAAGGACCCTGCGGGGAAGGCCCCACTCCATCCTCATATGAAACTTTTTAATATGGGCTTCCAGCACCTGTTGTGCAGTGGAATCAATGAAGGAAAGGTCCTGGAAGGTATTCAGGGAGGAGTCCTCACCCACTAATGGTGGCATACTTCTCCGTGTTACTTGGGTGTGAGATTTCACAGAAAGCAGCAGTGTCTGCTTGACAGCATGCCATGAACTATGCACAGTCCCAGGGAGCCGACCCTCACTGATTTCCTCAAACTTCTTGCCCAAATGTACTTTCAGGACACTTTCAAGTTGTTTCTGACCTAGACTGCCCCCTGAGGCCCTTGAATTTTTTTTCCGACAGACTTGCCATGTGACTATTTAGGTTTTTCTCAGATTCATAGCCCAGATCGTTATCTGAAGAGCTCTCTGGATCACTCAACAGATGAGATTTTGGGCCATTCTGTGAGCTATGTCCCTGATCCTTCCCCACATCCTTCTCTAGCTGAAGCATTTCTGAGCCCCTCTCATGGAAGCTTCCAGGTTGGCTCAATCCAACATTCAGATTTTTATTCACAGAGACCCATGAGAGTCCATGGTTGCTCTCCAAATCAGCTGTGTGTGAGAAATCTCTCGGAGGCATCATCAGTGACAGAGACTCATGGATCCTGCGGGGCAGGCCCCCGTGGTGTTGGATGAGCCTCTTTTGAAGATGATGCTCTAGTTTCTTCTGAAGCTCAACGCTGAGAGGAAACTCTCCAGGAAGGGTGGAGATGGAAACATGGGCCTGGGAGGCCTGGTGGTAAAGAGAGTTTGGAGCTGAAGGACAAAAGTCTTCCTGAGATCTTTGGACCACAAAGGATGAACCCAACAAACTTTCCTGTTGCTCCTGCAACATGTTCCACTCCAGTTGTTGAATTTCAGATGAGATGAGAGACTCTGATTCATTCTGGGGTATATGGAAACACACTCCACAGGTCTGGGTCCCAGGTAGAGGACCAGATGGTAGGATTGGGAGTGGGGATTGAAGGTGGGCCTGGGACTGGACTTGACTGAGAGGTAGGGGCTTGGACTGGGGCAGGGTTTGAGGCAAGGCTTGAGGCTGGATCTCAGGCAAGGACAAAGGTAGAGGATGGGAGCATACTGGGGTTTCTTGGTCCATGGAGAAATTAAAGATTCTATTGAAAATGAAGATTGAGGAACAGTCACCTGAAACATGGGCAGCAGGGGCCAAGGACTCACTGTGCAGAGATGGGAGACCCCAGAAGAGCTGGACATGTTTCTGCTGTAAATGGTCCTCTGAGGTCATAGGATATGGGGGCTGCTGGTTCACATGCAGCTCCTTTGCCATCCCTTTGCTGCTTCAAAAAGGAAGGGAGACTGCTGAGTCATGCTTATCAGCAATTGACTCCAACATTTCCCCTGAAGTATTTAGTTGGTAGTGTCCCCTAAGTCGTTTTGGAAAAGAACCCTTTTTCTTTTCCTTTTCCTTCAACGTTAGGAAATCACTTCTCTGTTGGACTTGTCCCTCCAGGAGTGCCAGCACATCAGTGCTGCAAAACAAGAGGTTTCCAGGCTCTACAAGGTTGGCTGCAGGGTTTCCCTGAGAAGAGGCCTCTGAAGAATGGAGGGGAAAAAAACTCTTCATTGAGATCGTCTAGTGCCAAGGTGGAAGGGAACAAGTCTTTGGCATGAGTTTGCCGTGAGGAGAACTCTGAAGCAGACAGACTTGAACAGTCAGTACCTCTGATTGTTGGGACACAAGTGGACAACCCACCAGGGCTATCTGGAGATGAGTTCTCCAGAACAGCCCTCAGTAAGTTGGAAATTGATTTAGATTGAGTCATGGTTAAAGGATGGTCTGGTGGTGGTGAAACAGACAGGCTTGATGAAGCATCATGACAAGCTGATACATCAGTGGGATTCATTGTCTGGGACAAATTTGATAAGAGGTTGACATCTGGGGAAAGAGGGGGATCAAGAGAGAAGATGGTATGCATGGACAAAGTGGCCTCTGGTTGGAGAACAGGATCCACTGAGTGTCATGTGGTGGGAGAGGGGGAAAGGCAAGGGGTTGGGGTGGGGAATGGTCCCCTGGAAATTTTGAATCCAAGGGAGGAAAAGGTTCTGGTGGCAGAGAGTGACCCATTGGTGATGGTGAAAGAAAGTCAGCTAAGGGGGTCATTGGGTTAGGTGAGACAATGGAGGGGGGTGGTGGGGAAGGCTCAGGCTGAGAGGCTAGTATTAGGTCTCCTGAAGGGACTGCTCAGAAGGCAGAGGACAGAGTGAATGATGACTCAGTCACAGAAGCTGTGGAAGCCAAAGAGGACACAGAGAGGGTATCATCTTCCAGGTCCTCCAGGAACAGCAGCTGATTGACCTCCACAGTTGTGTTATTACACACTTCACAGGAGGGGTCTGGACAGAGCAGTTGACGAAAGCTGATGGTATCATGATGCTGGCCCGAGGGGCTGTGGGAGACAGGAGGTACAAAGCTGCAGCCAGGACCAGAAGAAAGAAAGGAGGACCTGCTGGCCTGGTGGGGGAGGGGCCACCTGAAGCCTGCTGCCCCTTCACATTGCCCCACATCCATGACTTCACAATACACTCAACAGCCCTCACCCCAAAGCCTTCATTCACATACCCGTTCCTATGGCAACCCCCTCGCATGACTAGGGCAGGCTGTACTGAATCCCTGGAATTGCACAGAACATGCTAAAGAGGGATCAGGAAAGAAGGGGAAAGACTAGTCACCTTTTCAGAATAGAAAGCAGCTTCCTTTTCTCCTCTCTTTCTCTCTTGTAATGTCTCCAACCTGGAAAACCAGGAGAGTGGGTTGTATATAATGAAGGTAGAAGCATAGGTGTTAGACAGGAGTCCCTTTATGGGAGACCTTTGGGACATTAGGCTCTGAAAGCCCCAAAAATCAGTAGATGAGGTCAAATGGTCAATGATATTAACAAGGTTCATAGGTGTATGTTGCTTCATTTATAAAGTACTTTCACATACATTATCCCATGTGATGCTCAAAACCACCATGTGAGAAACACAGGTTAATGGTTACCTCAAAGAGGAACCTGATAATCCGGAAAGTCAAAGTACTTTCACAAGCTCAGGAGACAGAAGCTCTGACTCTCATCATCTCACATGGACACCTATTGGGCAACACCCCTTGTCCAGGTCCATCACTGCTTCATGCCCAGAGGTGGGCAGAGCAGGAATCTGAGAAGTGTCTGGGGTTCTGACTGCCTTCCCATGAGCCTCTCCTCTGAGGGCTCTGTTTTCTGACAGGCACTGTGGCTAGCAACTGACATCCTCAGAGATGATGGACCTGGGACCTCATGGAAAGGACAGAAAGGGTCACCCTTGGAGAGCTCAGGTGGAATAGGCAGAACCTTACCTCCCAATGTTCCACCTTTCCTTCTCCTCTTGGCTGTGCTCTGACCCTGAGAACAGAAAGAAAAGAATCAGGGGCTGGGACTCATTTCTCTTGCTCTCCTTTCCAGGAAACTCAGATACTCATTATCCAAGAATAATATGACTCTCTATTTTAATTAATAAAACTTTGTATTCTTTCCTTTTATTAATTTTTAAAGATGATAAAATATTTTCAATTTTTCCTTCCTTGAAAAGCTCAAAGAGACTTTTTTCTATGAGGTCCACACTTGATATTCTCAGTCAGCAGTCCCCTGCTCAAGGAGGGCAAAGACTCTGAGGCCAGCAGCCACGTCTGTGCTCCCTCAGATAGACCCTGTGTCCTCGACAGAGCTTGGGCTCCAGTCTCTGCTCAGAGGCTTTCAGAGGCTCGGCCCTGCTTCCCTGATCTGCTGACATGCAGGAAGTCTTGGTCAAGTGACACCTGCCATGGGAATGTGACTCATGATCAAGTGCTGGGGACTCCCTTCTCCTGCAGAGATCCCAAACTCTCTAAGTAACCCAATCCAGGACTACAGAATCACCGAGTTTGGGATTTTATCTTGTAATCCTCCACCACACCCAAGTGGTCTGTGAGCTTTGAATGGAAACAGTCCCAGCTGAACCCCTAGGCCTGCCCGGCCTGTTCCCCTAGAAGGATGCAGTTCCATCCTCTACTCAGACTTCTCAGGTGTCTCTCTGAGTCAGCTAAACTCATTTTAAAATGTGGGAATGGAAAAGGAAACAACAATAAAGAATCACTGTTGGGGTCTTGCCCAGGTTCCCTTACCTTTTGGAAATCTTTGGTTTTCCAGAAGGTTGGTAAAGATGGAATCCCCACCAGGTAGCACAGGAACAGAAGGAGCAACCACAACCCACACAGGAAGGTGAGGTTGGGGTCAGTATCTAAGAATGCTGAGCAGACGCTCAGACACAGCTCAATAGGGCTATTCAGAAATGAGAAAACATTCCAATGGCTGAACTCCATTGTCTGAATCGCAAGGCTGCCTGAAGCAACTGAGCTCTGAGAGTGCCAGTGCTTGCCTATAGTCCCAGGCCTGCATCACAGAACACAGAAGAGTCACAAAGGGTTTCTGAGGGTGGGGGAGGGGACATGAAGAGGGTGTGCCCACAGCCCCTCCCCCACCCACCAGCCCAGCACATCTGTCCACCCCTCCTGGGCCTTCTAGGTCCCTCTGCACTACCTGTCATCCTATTTTCCAACTCCACCTTTTCATCATATCATATGTTTGCCTTATTGAAATTTTCTGCTTTTCTTATTTGTAACCCAGATATTACCTGGGTCCCCCTTTACTGTTTGGAGAACTAGACGTGGGTCTCACCATTCTCCTGCCTTGAAAGTGAAAGGCTGCCTGGAACTTATGCTTATACCCCGACATTTACACACAGGATCATATATGGCCTCAAATCCATCTTCCCTATAGAATGTTTTTGCCTTACACAAACCCAGATTTGGAACTTAGTGTTCTTCTACACTTAGTTAGTTTTGTGAAAACAGTAAATTTTAGGTTTTTGTTTCAGTTAGACTTTACCATCTTCAAGAGGCTAAGTCAAATAATTAAAATGAATAATTCATTATTCAACATTCAGAAAACTAACTAAATAAATATATTTATAAGATAAATGTAAATAACCTCCCAATGATCTAGGGGGTAAGTCTTTAGCACTTATTTTTCTGAAGTTAGTGAAGCTTAAACTGGATAAAGACTCAGCACATGCTACACATACACACACACTCACACATACACACCCACACACACACACACATCCTTTGATAAACCAGTCCAGTATTTCCAAATCCTGGAATAAAACGTTTTCTCTTTTTACTTCAATCTTTCCTTTTTTATTTTGAGCCCACTTTTTCTTACTCTTCCTAAAATACAGACCGTTCCCGCCCTCTCCAGGTGGACACATCCCTTAGTCAGTGCAGGCTGCTGTGACAAAACACCACAGACTGGGAGGCTTAAACCACAGACATTTATTTCTCACAGTTCTGGAGGCTGGGAAGTCCAAGATCAAGACACCAGCAGATTCAGTGTCTGGCCAGGCTCACTTCCAGGTTCACAGACAGTTGCCTTCTCCCTGCAACCTCACGTGGTGGAAAAAGAGGGTGAGGGAGCTCTGTGAGGTCTCTTGTATGAGGACACTAATCCTCTCATGAGGCTCCACCCTCATCACCGAACCACCTCCCAAAGGCCCCATCTCCTAATGCCATCACATTGGGATTAGGTTCCAACATATGAACTGGGGGGACACAAACATTCAGTCCATATACTCCCCAAAGGCCGGGATAGGTTACATATGCTAAGTTGTTGATCCCTCAGCTCTCGAGTGGCAGATGGGACCCAGGGACTCGGATGAGGCTGCACAAGATGAGATCCTGCCCTGGGCCTTGTAAGTGTGATCTCTTCCTAAGAGCGCCTTGCCACGAAAAAGGCTGAGAAGCTCTGGTCTGTATGATCACCCTACATATGTTCAAAAATCAACCACCTGTCACGCTTTTTTCAGGCTCCTCTTGTCAGGTTTAAATAATCCCAGTACTTCCCTCCCCTCTTCCTACATCTTCTTTTCCAAACTCCTTATCTTCATGACAGCTGTCCTCTGACGGGTCTCCTAACTTCTCACGTCTTTCTTAAGCTGTGATGCCCTTGCTCTGACACCCACAGCCCAGCACTATCACCTGATCTCTGTGAAAGGGTGAGACAGCCTTCACTCTGGTGGAGTGTCCTTTCTTTTTTCTTTTTTGAGGAAGATTAGCCCTGAGCTAACTACTGCCAATCCTCCTCATTTTTCTGAGGAAGACTGGCCCTGAGCTAACATCCATGCCCATCTTCCTCTACTTTATACGTGCGACGCCTACCACAGCATGGTGCACCCAGGATCCGAACCAGCGAACCCTGGGCCACTGAGAAGCAGAACTTAACTGCTGTGCCACGGGGCCAGACCCCGGAGTTTCCTCTCAATTATGCAGGAACAGGTACCCTGCCTGGAGGACAAAACCTGCTGGGAGGCGCCACTTCCTCTTCGCCTTGATAGGCAGCCTGAGCCAAGTTTCATTTAGTAAATATTTACTGCTGGAAACCAGGAAACACAAGTACCTGTAAGTCATGTCTCTGTCCTTGAACCATGAGCTGCGGTTTTAGGGAAAAGCACTGCACAGGTCAAGAGTGACTACACAGGAGAGGCCCCGGCACATCTGGGAACTGCCAAGCGATCTCAGTAAGATATCAGAGAAGGGACAGACACTGTGGGTGACAACTGCTCAAACCCCTAACCCCTGGCAACCACTGATCTTTTTTACCATCTCCAGAGTTTTGCCTTTTCCAGAATGTCACTCACATAGTTGGAATCAGACAGTGTGCAGCTTTTTCAGATTGGCTTCTTTCACTTAATGATATGCATTTAAGTTTCCTCCATGTTCTTTCATGCCCTAATAGCTCATCTCTCTTTAGCACTGAATAATAATAACTGTGGATGTAGCACAGTTGCTTTATCCATTTACCTTGGACATCTTATTTGTTTCTCAGTTTTAGCAACTATAAATAAAGCTCCTATAAACTTTCTTTTAAAAAAAAAATGCTTTATTGAGACATAATGCACATACCATAAAATTCACCCATTAAAAGTGTACAATTCAGTAGATTTTACTGTATGCCCAATGTTGTGCATCTATCACCATAATAAATTTTAGAACATTTTCATCACTCTAAAAAGAAACTCTGTTCCCCTCAGCCTTCTCCCTTCAATCTTCTCATTCCCCCAGCCCTAGGTTAGCACTAATCTACTTTCTCTATAGATTTGTCAATTCCAGACATTTTATATAAATGGAATCATACAATATGTGGCCTTTTGTATCTGGCTTCTTTCACTTAGCATAATGTTTTCAACGTTTGTTCATGTTGTAGCGTGTATCAGTACTTAATTTCTTTTTATGGGAGGTAATATTCCATTTGACAGATATACCACATTTTGTTTATACATTGATCAGTTGATGAACATTTGGGGTGTTTCCACTTTTTGACTATTATGAATAAAGCTGCTGTGAACATTTGTGTACATGTTTTTGTGTGATGTATATTTTTGTTTCTTGCTTATTCATTTTTGCAATAACTTAAAGTCGCACTTCATCTAATCTTCTTGCTTTCAGAGATTTTGGTAGTATAAGCATGTTAGACTCCCTATGAAATGAGACCTTTGGGGTCTAAATGCAGTTTTTATCAAATTTCTGGAGGCATCAATTTGCCTTCCTGCCAGCACTCTCAAAATTAGCCCTTGAATCAGCAGGAATGATCACCATGCATAATGCTTAACATTTAAAAATAATGCACACCTTATATTCTCAAGATTCTATTGTTGAGTTCTAGAAAGTCAGAAAAGCTTGTGGGAAGAGGAAGTGCAATCCAGCCAGAAGGAGCGTGAGCAAACTTGTAACATATATGAAAGTACATGTCTGGTCACGCTAAAGCACAGGGTATGTGCCTGAGGATAAGAGTAGCAAAAATTTAGGCTGAAAAAGTGGAAGAGTCAATTGCAAAGGACTTCGAATGACAGTTTAAGCAGCTTGAACTTGTGCTGGGGCAGTGGGAAGCTAAGGTTTTCATAACCAGAAGAATGGCATACCCAGATCTGTGTTTTGGAAAGATGACTGGCAAAAGAGAAGCTGGCTGAGAGTTCATGGGAAATATGCACATTAATCACTGTATCTCATAGGACTCTTTGTCTTGCAGATGACAGGAAACCAGATGAATTCTGGCTTAAGCAAATTTCTAATTCATTGGCTTATATTTCTCCACAGCACAGGAGTAGACTCAGCTTCTGACTCTCCATCCCTTGGTTCTGATCTCTTAGTGTTAACTCCTTCTCAAACCACTTCTCTTGTGGTCCCAAGATGGCATCCAGCCAGGAAAAACAAAGAATCATTGTCCCAGTGTTCCAAATTAGAGTCCCAACATTCAAGTGAATGGGACCAGCTCAGGTCATAAGAACACCCCTGAAATAATTACCAGTAACCAAAGAACACTAGTGGCCTAGTCTAAGTCAGTTCTACTCAAAGTGTGGTCCATGGACCAGTACCTGTTCCCACATTTTTGTTCTCAGCTGCAACAAGATAAGCATAGAAAATAAGGATGGTTAGAAATTTGTACTGCAATTTGACAAGAGTAATTAAATCTAATTATAAAAACATTGAGGCTTATATTTTATGTCTTTATTTTGTGTGTCATTCTTCCAGTGCTTCATTTGTATGGTATTTTACACAACTATCAGTCCACAGTGTGTGGGGATGTGGGAGAGAAAGCAAACTGGGCCTTCACCACAGACAGTTTGAGGAACTGTGGTCTAATGTCCATGCTCCGCTGTGAAGCCTGGGGGCAAGTCAGCATTCTGGAAGCACACAGGGAGACTTCGGGGAGATCCTTCCCCCTCGCCATGAGAGGGGGCGAAAACAAATGTCCACTATAATCATGGGACCTAATCTGGACAGAGGAGGGGCACTCCCAGACTCACTTTAGCGCTCCTATTTTCTCATGCTTTCTTCCATGATGACCTCCCCTTATTCAGAGTCCCTGGTAAGAATGCACCCTGCATAAGCTTTGGATAGGGCCATTTTAATAGACTAAACATTACATGGGCGTTCACCTACCATCCCCACTGGAACTTCTATTACTAGAATCAAAGCACTCGAATGGCTCTTCTAAGCCATTAAGAAAAAAACAGCTTTGAGCTACACTAATGCACGGTAATTGCTAAACTGAATTCCTTTGCCCTGCCCTTGACATTGAGGTATGGAAACCCTGGAGCCCTAGAAGAGTCTGAAGGAAAAAATGTCTAAGACAGATTCCAGGAATCTAAGATTCTCATTGAAAATGCATTTTAGAGAACTGTTTTTGGTTAACTTGCTAGGACAGTTGTATGGCAGGAAAACATGTGCAAGAATTTGGCAAATTGCACCTTTCATTTCTCTTGTAAAATAAAATGGAAACAATAAAAACAATTGGAAATAAAAGACGTAATCTGAGAGAGTGCTTTGATTCTTTTCCTAGTTAAATCTCTGCAATTGAAGCTTTGCTGGAGAGCAGCCTGTGTTTTTAATCTCACTGTCCACAGAGGGCTAATACAGGCACAGGATCTGAGAGTCTGCCACACTAGGAGCTGGAATGACCTTGGGGAACCTTCCAGTCTGGCCTTCTCATTTTACAAATTGGAAGCTGAGGCAGGGCAGGTTTATTTCTTTTTTCTTTAATCCTTTCATATCTGTGTGTGTGTGTGTGTGTGTGTGTGTGCGTGTGTGTGTATTTTCTCTCAGGAGGCTTGAGAACTTGGTGTCTGCACAGTTTTAACATAATTTGAACACCCAATACGAGGCTTGTTTCTTTCCAGGGCCCTAAATCACCTTCCAGTATGAAGGCAAGGCCTCATCAAGGGCCGAGTTTTATCCAGCACTGCCTCGAAATGTGCAATTCTTGCCTAAGTGAATTTTACAAACAACTGAGATGGTAATGCTTTTTTGTGGAAATAACCTATGCCTCCATGCCTTCTGCAATAAAATAAGCTGAATGTAACTTCGATGTTCCTTGATGACCAAAGCTTAGTTCGCCTGATAAACAATTGTGTCCTCCAGAGGAGCAGGTGTAGACAGTCTGCAACAGACATGAATGTGCGTTGACTCCAGCAGTGGCCCCAAACCCTGCCATCAGTCAAAAAAATACATCACTTGTATTTTAGGAGTTTACCTCTTTTTCCTATAAACACAATGTTTATCAAATACACACACACTGTGTAAAACTGACCTGTGACAGAACTTCCTTTAGCAGGTCACACGACTGCCCTTTAAGAGTGATTGTAGTTTGGATCACTTTCATCCCCTCAGGGGGCGAGGGAACCACAGGGAGGAGGTGGAAGAGAACTAATGTTTGGTGGGTACTTACCTTCTATGTGCCCCAAACTTTCACTCAGTTCATTTCTTAACTATCATCTGAGGGAAGAAATATTTTTCTCATTTTACAGATAATACTGAGCCCCAGAAAGATTAAATAACTTGCCTAAAGGCACAGAGCTAAGAAGTGACAAAGTAAGGATTTGAACCGAGCTTGCTTTGCTCTCAGGCCCGCATCTTCACTCTATAGGATGCTGTCCCAGAGAGTAGTCACCGGGTCTTGATCCCTGACTCTTCTTCTCCACTGTCATGCCAGCAGCTATCTTTTGCTGCATAACGAGCCACCCCAAATCTGAGTAGCTTAAAACAATAAACATTTTGTTTGCTTGTTCTGCAATCCAGGCTTAGCTAGGTGACTCTTCTGTTGATCTTACCAGTGGTCACTCATGTGGATTCATCCAGTTGGTAGGCCAGCAGGGGCCTGGGCTTAAATTCTTTTAGCTAGGCTTTTCTCTCAGGGCCTCTCCCTCTTATGTGGCTTCTCCTACAGCCTCTCCATGTAGCTGTAGCAGGGTAACAAAGTTCTTGCAAGGCAGATCAGGGCTCCTAAGAGCACAAAAGCAGAACTTATTAAGGCTTAGACCAGAACTGAAACAGCATCACTCTGCCACTTCCCTTTGGTTAAAATGAGTTACATTCCCAACTCAGGTTCAAAGAGAGAGGACCACACACGGGCAAATACTGGGAGATGTGGATCACTGGGGGCCAGCAATGTGACAGTGGTCACCATAATCTTCAACTTTGGCACCACCAACTCTGAAGATTGGTGTTTCTTCTGTTCCTTACACTTTTCTTATATCAAGCTTTTCCCTCTTCTGTTTGCTTCTCTACTTTCTCCTACCATTTCTCAGCTTTTCTGCATTGTAACTGGCTTTCCTCAGCCAGCCACAAATAGAGGATTCCTCTCCTTCAGATCGGTGGACTGACCAAGCACATCGTGTCAACTCTTATTCTTCAGGTCATCAATCTTTGCAGCTCTGGTGTTCTATTGACAGAGATTCCTATGTTTTGGTGGTTTTGTTTGGCTTTGCTTTTACTTCTAAGTTCAAACCTGGAAGTCAAGTTTAAAGGAAAATAGACCTTTACTGCATCAAGAGTCAACGTAAGTGAACACACTTAAATGCTTTGCCCTTAGAAATAAAATCTAGAATCTGTGACACTAATTTTACCTACAAGAAGGCAAGATGTTCAGTTTGATGGCCAAGTCAACAGCTCAATGTGTGTCATGTTTTACATGCTTTAAATTCCTTTAGCATTCATTCACCAGGGCAGAGAAGGGAGAGAGGCCTATAGGAATCAGATCATTCCTGCATTGCAATTCTAGTTCACAACAGGCTGCTGCTTACATGTGGCTAAGATGATATCACTTAAATTTCTACTGAATCACTCAACCTGTCTGGTTACTGCTTTCTGCTGTCAGGAGAGACACAAGAGTACCAAGAATTAGCCAGGACCAGGAGAACCAGGTGTGCAGATACCAACAGCATGAGGAGAGCAAAGGAAGAGAGTTAAAAAAAGAATTTATAAACACCCAAGGTGAAGACCCTTGCAGGAAGGGATCGTAGGTTTCCATTTGAAATACTAAGGAACTAAAATGAAAGTTAAAATAAAAATTGAAATGGGAATTACCCTTCAAGAGTTTCCAAATCCATTCACTCCCAGGGGTGGAGCCTTTGACATTTTAAAGATTTCTTTGTTTCTCTATTGCAAAGCTCAAAAGAGAGAAAACCAAATTTTAATTTTTGCACCTACTCATTTTTTAACATTAAAACTCATTTACTTAATTCAATTTAGCTAATCTTGGTCAACTTGACCAGCATAAAACTCCTTTCAGAATTTCTCCTTCACAAACTTATACAACTTTCTTTTACCTTCAGAATTTGTCCCATGCTTTCTTTTTTCCCTTCTAATACTTTAGGACAAATTTATCTTTCTTGACTCAACAAACAAAAATACTTCCATTCTTTATACCCTCCTTACCTAAAATGTACATTTTACTTTCCTTGAATACAGAGCTGTTTTCCTTATTAATTTTAGTAGCTTTAATTACATGTATTAATTAGAACTTTTAACCCTTAACAGACCCTAGTAAACACTAAAAAGGTAAGCAATTACAAACTGTCTTTTATATCAGCATTCTAAACACTATTCATAATTTCCTGAAACAAGCCATTTCACAATAAAACACAATGCATGCTTTCTAATAGACCCAAATGCTTTTAGCCTCTTTGCAATAAGAAGCCAAAAGTAGATAAGCGTACATTTAGTAATTAATGTCTAATATCTTATTTGGAAATGATCTAGATACTCAATGAATTTTATCATTTAAATTAACATAGCAAAACTTTAAAGTTTCAAGTTACCAAAAAGATTTTGGAAGCTGTTTTAGATACACATGCCATAAACTGTAATTATTGCTAAAAGTTTATCTATAAGCTCTTATTTCATTTATATCTAAATCATTTCTTCCCAATAATGATGTTTAGATTACCCGCAAAAACTTCATGAGACATTAAGCAAAATTAGCTATCATTCTAAGTTATTATGCTGACAAATTTGTAACAGGGATAACGTGAGCTTTTTTTTCTTCCTTCTTCTTTTTAAACTAGTAAACCCAGGCTTCATGTCTGCATCATATCCAGTGCTAACTCTGGAGGACATGTCCATTTTAATCAAACCAACAAACTTAAACTTTCATTAACCAAAGATTAATCTATGTCATCTTAACTTAAAAGACATTGGGTTAATTTCTACAACATTTAGAATTTATGTAAGTGCTTACTTTAGGCCAAGTAAATAGAGCTCTTAATTTTGGCCATACCATCCGGAGGTAAAATCACAAGTATATAACATACATATAGACACATAGACACAGCCTCCACAGCTATCGTTTTAAAAATCACTGCCGTGAATCAGGTACAATAATACAAAGCTCCCTAATTATGAATCCAAATTTTGTTTTGAGCCTTTTTTACTAATATTTGTGGAGAAGACATTCAAGACGCTAGATTTTTTTTTTTTTTTTTTTTTCGGCAAGGGCACGCTTATGGCCTTTTCCCTTTTTTTTTTTTTTTTTTTTTCCAGTCCTGGGAATTAACTTCATCACAAACCACTCAAGTTTTTTTCCAGATGGAGTTTCTGGGACATGAACCACCCAATTGAAAGCGTTTCCAACTAGTTAAAATGCACCCAGGGGTGAGTCTCCACGGATGCTTGAGGCATGCCCCATGGCAGTAAAGCTGGTGTCTGACTGACAGCGGCCAGAGAAAGGGTGCAGAGCCTGACTGCGGGCATCAACATAGTTATGAGGTGTAGTCACCTCCCACTTAGCCCAGGCACTTAGTCCCTGAGCCAGCACAAGGCAAGGCAGGGAAGCAGGAGGCAAAGGCCTGGAGCTGCCTAGGGGCTGGGACTCCCTGTGCCTGGGGTTGAGAAGTTAAGCACAGAAGGCCCAGGTTCTGCTCAGGTCCATCCTGAACTTATCCTCGCCTTGGTGACAAGAGAGATGATGACAAATGAAACAGATAAAGAAAGGAAAAGAGGAGATCAGGCCTCACTCTCACGGCCTCTTCCCGAGGGTTATCAAGATAAGGGTCACGCAACAGTTTCCATGCTGGGGCACAAAACACCCACAGGACAGTTCACAGAATAAATCATAGGTCTCCTATCTCATAACTGACTCAGTAGGTGCCTAAAATACTCGAGCCAACTGCCAAGACCACCTCACTTGGTGTCCCGGGGGTGATCAGGCCCGGAAACCAGAGTGGGGGCTCCCAGGGGTAGAGGCTTTGACGCTTTAAAGATTTCTTTGTTTCTCTATTGGAAAGCTCAAAAGGAGCCCAAAACGGCCACTGCAACTTAAAGAGACATGAAAGAAAGGTCCATTACCTTGAAAATTCCCCCTGAACCTAGGGCAGCATCTTACCTGTTCTGCCTGTGGGGTTCCTATAGCAAGGGGTGATGGGGACGTCCGCCTGCATTGCATCCCTTGTATATCCTCCCTATAATGCCTGGCAGTAATAGGTGCCTGGTGAATTGTCCCAAAGATGAAAGAATAGAGAAATACAGCGAAGAATTTTCTGCCCGTCTGGGAGACATTCTACCCAATTGTGTCCTGGAGACGCTCTCCCAAGAAGGGGTTCCCATACTCAACCAAAGTTTAGAGTTTGGTACTTTCCTTGAACCAGAGTCCCAGTTGGGACTTTCTCGTGGTTTGGAGTGTGGTCAGGAGCCATAGGGTGGGATACCAATCCAGCCTTAGGAAAAGAAACCTGCCATGGGTGTCTTGGAGATTGGTGACCGTCCTAATGACTTAAGTGGTCCACCCACGCCCATGCAAAATTTATATATTAGAGACAGGATTAGGAAGGAATGCATTAATTTGTTCTTCATCATCCTCAGGCTTAAGGTACTGATGCTCTTCAGGCTGAATGCCACGATTTGCCCCACAGAGTAGCCATGGACAGCAAAGGCGGATTCATACAGCTGTCCAAGAAAGTTCCATATGGAGAAGTGAATTTAGATCCATCCTTGAAAAAGAGAAAGGCACAAGGAAGACTAGAACTTCAACTCACAAGCCGGTGAAGCAAGCAGGCTCAGCGAGCCGAGGAGTCAAAAGAAAGATTTCTTGGACTCTCAAGGTCTGGAAGTAGTGCTCCTTTATTCAGAGAATAGCATGGGGGCATGGCCCATGAGCAGTGAAGAGCTGCAGCATGAGGACAGGACACATGGGCAGGACTTTATCAATAGGTCTTGGTCTTATAATATTGGATAGGGAAGTATTCCCAGCCAGACATTTTAAAACATACTCAGGCTAAGTTGATATAACCTCTTTATAAAGAAAATCAGCTCAAGCATTCCAACCTTGATAATCTTATCAACACTTAGACTTTTATATTTCATCAGTTCAATTGTAACCTGAGTCATGGTCTTAAAGCTAGTCATTATTTTATTGCGTGTATTTCCTTTTTAATTTGGCCTTTTCATAGGTACCGATAAAAATTATGATGAGAGCTCTCACAATTTTTTCCCCCGATTTAGAAGTTTTCCCAATTTAAATGATCCATCATCTGGCCACATTGACGAGTAGGATCTTAACAGTGACTCAACCAATAAGCTTAACCATGGACACAAGAGGCAACCCCAAAAGAGATCCAGAAAGTTCACTCCCAAAAATAGTCTAAGAAAGTAAAGGCCTTCATTGCACAACAAGCAACAAAGGTTCAGACCACAAAGGTCCCTTTTGAAAGCAATTGGGACCCCTTATGACAAACTCCCCTGAGAGCTGACACAGCCAGACAAAGAGAGTGTGTCCCAGAACCCCAGTCTACTCAACTGGCTTCCAAAATGTGTGCCAGTACATACATCTTCCAGATGGCGGAGACCAGAAAGGTCACAAAGCCAAGCTCTCAAGACATAGAACAAGACAAAAGGCCCAGACAACAGACTTATTGAGATGCCTGTGTCTTATGACAAACAACAAAAAAAGAGAGAGCCAAGGAAAAGTACGATCTCTGGGAGGAAAAGGATCTACAACCAATGAGTACTCAACCAAATCCTAGCGTTGCCAAGTCCAAGAAGCTAGCCTCACCAAAATTTTCTCCTGCTAATCTAAATTTAGAAGAGCAAAAAAAAAACCTCACCACTCTTGCTTCCGTTGGACCCTCCAGGCAGAGATCTGGGAGACTGATGTGGTAAGAACTCTTACCTCTTGCCAGCTCTCATTAGGGGTCCAGGATCTCTTAGCCATAGCAGTCCAGGAGTGAGCAGTGTCCACCAATGAAATTTTATCCCATCCAAGTTGCCAAACTGTAGAGGAAGAAGACATTTCCTCTACCCACTCTGGGTCCTTCTGGCTGGAGAACAAATTAAATTCACATGAGACAGAATAACAGGAGAAAAATAAAGCTTTATTACATGTATACGTAGGAGAGGATCAGGCAAACTGAGCAACTTGCCAAAATGGCTGAAGCCATCATCTTAAATATCATCTTCAGCTAAAGACAAAGGAGGATGTTGGGGGTTGGGGGAGTCAGTTACGGGAGGTTATTTGACAAGTACAGTGAACAAGAGTAAGACTATTATGCAGATTTAAGTCCTTGCCTTCTGCATTGATTAAGAGTTTCTAGAGATAAGGTCATCCCCCCTTCTTCCTGGTACAGAGAGGGAGACACCTTTACAGATGGAGATTTCCTTTACAAATGTAAATGTATTTTAACAAAGGGTGGGTAAATTCTACTTTTCAGAGTTTCTTTCCTGTCTGCAGTTTTTTAAAAGTAACCAGCCCCAAATAATCCTCATGCCAAAGAGACGTATCTTGGGGTGGCCAATTCCAGTCCCCCACAATGTCAATATTATTAAACATGAGGAAACAAACTAAAGAAGCTAAGATTGTTGCTTAAAGGCATGCAGCTGGCTAGACGCAGAGGTGTGCCTGGAGCACTAGTCTCCTTACTTTGAAACTTCTATTGTATTCTACTCTCTTTATATCATGATGCCTCTTTCTTGTAGCTTCCTCACTGTCCCTCTACCTGGAACATCCATTCCTACTAGTTTATTTTTTCACACAGTTGAAATATCCTCTTTCTTCTTTTCCATCAATGTCATTACTATGCTTCCTTCAAAATCCAGCTCTGTCTGTGATCTTTTCAAGCCTTTATGGATGACTCTAGCTAATTGTGGTGATAAAGTTGATTACATTCTGCTAGCATTGTGTGTATGCATGACTTATCTCCCATACAAGGGTGTACTACCATGAGGGCATGTGTTCTACTTGTCTTTTTCTCCCCCTGCTGGGACTCACAGTACTCTATAAGTAGGAGAAGTTAACTTTATTCTTTTCTTATTTGGAGATTTGTTCCAAGATTACAGCAAAATT